GAGGACCAGAATGTGACGGTAAATGTCAGGTGAGGTTATATGAAACCAGAATCTGACGATACATGGTGCGGGGTAGCCCTGTTGGAGGTGGAGTCATTGCTGTCGAGGATCAGTGTCTGTTGTTGTGTAGCTAGCCGGGGTCATCCAGAAACAGGGGTCGGCGTTAGCTGGTGAGCTCAAGGATACCCAGCATCAGGAACGGACGGCGTGTTGCAAGTTGGCCAGGCCCTTGAAGGGGATTGGGTGAAGTGCCATGCCCGAGCTGAAGGCGGTGGTCAGGTGATGCTGGTTGTTGATGGGCGTGGGATCTAGACCTTTGTGACTGGGCAAGTAATGGTTAGTGGGACCAGGGCCGATATCATTCAGACTTTCATCAAGATAAAGTCGTGAATATTCAGGATTAAGCGTTGGTCGTGACAAGTCAGCTGCCCTATAACAACAAATGAGGGATTTCGGAGACTATCCGAGGCTTCGCCTGCTAGCGTGCCATGCGGTCTTGATGTGAACCGGCTGCTTCCTCCCACCACAGAAGCAGCCGTCGCCGGTGTACATCAAGGGGACGGCGCATCGAGGGGGGGGCGCCGCAAATGCTGCAGATGAGCCTGGACGGCAAGCGGCTGTACGTCACCGACTCGCTGTTCTCGCCATGGGACAAAGCAGTTCTACCCCCAGCATGGTCAGGTGCGCGACTCCCGAACGGGGAGCAGCTCCAAGCAGGAACAGGGAGGGTACAGTGACAGTTGGAAAACATGCAGTTCTAGTGCTAGTTTCGCTGTACAGGAGCAGTTCGAGAGAGTACAGTTTCGGGTGAGTGATCAGGTGCAGGGTACAGAAAGCCGGCACAGGAGCGTTGCAAATTCAGGTTCTTGAAACGTGACGTGCATGAGGGTCGCTTCTTCATGACCCGTGACTTTGTATGCGATCTCTCTCACCTCCCCCATCCCACCCCCCCCCCCCCCCCCGGCAGGCGTGCACAATGATGCTGCAGATTGACGTGGACACCGAGCGTGGAGGCCGACCCTCAACAAGGACTTCTTGGTCGCTTCCACGACGAGCCAAACGGCCGGCCCGTCCTGGCTCACGAAATGATGTAATCTGCCAGGCGTACATGCTCGCTCGCTTTTGCCACGCTTGTGGACACCTGGATCAGAGGAGACAACAAGTTGTTGACGGCAAGTAACAATTGTGATAGCTATTTGAACCGTAATGAATAAGAAACGAAGCGCGGCAACGTTCGGGGTCGTAAGTGATGGGAGCACATCACATCTGCTGGATGCCGAAGTACTTACTGATACAAAGTATCAGTAAGTACGTGTCGGGAAACACCGCCACCCACCGTCGGATGCGGATCTCCTCACTTAGGCTGTGGACTAGGGAACTTCGTGTTCCCCATGCAACTCTACTATAGGACAGGCTTATTTAACATGTAGACAGGCGCAATCGAGCATCGGATGCCCCACGCGTAAGCTGTATTACTGTCTGCATCATAAGCTGCTTATGAGTGTCTGGCATTATATTGGAAGCGACCTCTGACGGGTCGAATTCGGATCAGAGGGGTAAGGTTAGGTCTTCAACTTTTACGAATGTCAAAGTCCAAGGTAAATCCGTGCTGTTGCGTGAAAACAAACGCCGTAAGAGAAACATCAATGCCCCATGTCACACGTCCTCACCAATAACAGTTATCAATTATGTCCATCTTACTGGACGGTTGCTATCACTTCACCAAAACCAGCGGGGTTTGCTCCCCTTTGCTTAGCCTCCCCACGGTTGTCGCGCTGTTACCGCGCCAACGGCGAATAGATCAGACCCCCCGGTCCATAGGATGATCTCCTAGAGATCGAAATCAAATTCGAAAAGCAAACCATCATCACGAACTCGATCTCCAGTGGGTGATTAAAACCGAATAAAATTTCTCTGTTGGCCAAGCCAACTTCTGGTTGGCTCGGTCTACGAATAACATGCAGTTAACGAAAACGTTTGCCCAGGGCCGTGGCGTCCAGTCAGCTCGGCTTATTTCTTCGATAATCTCTTATCATCTGATCTTCGATCAACGATCAATCTTTTCGCAGGTATCCTGGTGGAGACTGCACGTCAGACATCTGGCTGGCACCTGAGGCCACCAAGGGCAGCAGCCTCTAAAGCCAGGCGCCTTGTTCGGATCTGGAGGTCGATCCAGATCCGTCTCAACTTGGGCGATACCACAGCGTCCATTTCCAGAACTGTCACGCTTGGGTCACGCCTGGAGGCGTGTACGGAGGAACCCAGTGGACCAACTCGACGCGGGACGTGTGTTGTGAGATTACGAGGAGATTAAGTGGGGATGACGTGGAGGTTCAGCTGCACGAAAACGGACGGCTGTACGAAAACGGACAGCTGTACGAAAACGGACAGCTGCACGGAAGCGGACAGCTGTGCGGAGACGGACAGCTGTACGCTCTTGAAAATGTTGAACTTTGTGGTGGGGTGTGTTTTGAGCTGGAAAACGTCATTCCCGCATTGGTGAGTGGAAAACTCAGATGGCAAATGGAAACCTCTTTAATGGTGCGTAGTGAGATTGGAAGCAACAGTATGCAGACGATGTGATCCATTTACTACAATGTACATCACAGACTTCAAGCGAATCTTTCACACTTTCTTGTTATCAAAAAGGGACGAAATGCGAGCAAACATGGTGCGCTAGCGATGGTCGACTCTTTGCTGTTATTAACAGTGTCGGGAATTTACAAGTTTTGCGAAAGACAGGATTCATAACCGTTTGTTCATACAAAACAAAAGACCGCATTCCGGCCGCTATTTACATTCAACGTTCACCGTCTGTATATATATATATATATATATATATATATATATATATATATACATGAGTCTGCTCACTGATAATGTGGCGATTTTGCACCGTTTGCATTGGCGTCCAAAGTGGCGTCGTTTTGCAGAACGGGTGGGGCGGGGGGCTGAGCGAGAATAATGGCCATAGTTATCTCAGAAATACAGGAAAACGAGTGTCCTCTCGAATTCGGCCGCACTTTTCCGTCACAGTTATGGGAAAGTAGTGTTCCTTCAATTGAATAGGAGCCTGCGTCCCTGAGGAGCGTTCTCTGAACAATTCTCGGGTGTAGGTAAACTTTGTGAGGAACACTCCTCAGTGACTTTATGAACAGACAAGGGCACCATTGGGATGCTGCCGGCAGTGGCAGTTAACACTCCTTGCGATTTCGGGCGTCTCTTGCGATCGTACCACTTTCTGGTCGTTGGACATCACCATGTAAAGTGTAAATGGGCATCCCCTACTCGCGAGATGGTTGAACAAGCTTTGCATTGGGAGGTGCGATTGAAAGAAGTAGTTCGTTGCGGATTTCCCCTGCTGTCTAACTTCAAAAGAATATCTTTTACCAACCAATCAGAGCAGTTCCCGACTCTGTGAGTCGTTGCTTATGTTGCTATGATTGGTGTACACCCTGGACGAATTATTTGTCGAGCTGATGATTTTCAGACTTAATGATCAGCGTATTTAGGTCGTAATGTGGATATTGTTGTGATTATCTCCCTCAGCACTGCGATGTATCTGCCTAATTCCAAACACCGTATGCAGGTGAAACATTTTCTGCAAAGGTTGGTTGTTGGCCGGGGCATATGGTATATATATAAGCTGTTGGTCACTATGTACCGATACGCAGCCGGGGTGTTTCCATAGAGACGTACAAGATCTACGTCAGCATTCTGCCTTCGGCATTGTCTTGCAGCTGTAAGAAAATACACGGGCTTCCAGCGGCTTATTTGGACGTTGCATTCGAGTACGGAGAATCCGTTACAAGCATGAGTGCTGTGTTCATGCTCAGCCAGTTTGATGCAGGTTCAATGACCTAAAATGCAGGTGGCGCCAGCCGCTGAAGTCAAACACGCCAAATGTAAGATTTTCGGGGGGGACCTCCACATTGCGGCTATGGCATGAAATGCGGGATACAATTAACTGTGATGGACACGGAACGCTAATGCTTTTGTAATTAAAGGAAATGCCTGGGAAACCGTCAAGTTGCGAACGAGCCTCGTTCCTCGTGTCGTTGAAGTTAGACGCGCGTGCCTGTCAAGAGTACGGCACCTACTGCATACGGCTAGCGCCACCTACAACTCATGCCAAACCGTAGCGCCACCTGTGGGCGATCAACGTGTATCTCCGGTCCAAAGTGTATTGGACAAGGCAATCATTTTTCCTGGGTTTTTTTTTGCGTTGCGGCGGCCCAGGGGTGCAGCCAAGTAGGAAACTTGGGGGTCCTCCTCCTCTCCATAGGGCTCAGTTTTTAGCTCTTCACCATAAATGGCTCCCCGCAGAAAATCCAAATCGGTGTGAGGTATACTCCCCGGACTCAACGCTCTCTCTTCACCTCCAAGAAAATCCTGGCTGCGGCCCTGCGTCAGTCCCAACGTTTGATCCCGTCTTTCATTTCCAACCAGCCTTGTATCGGGGCCTGCACAAGTGAGTGTGGGGCAGTGTTATAGGGCAAGGTTGCGAGAAGAGGGTGATGGGATGAGACGAGCTCCGTGCGGTGTCAGTGTAAAGGCCGGTTCGTTTTCTTGGTGAGCGTAAATTTTTCATCGCGGGTCGTGGCTCTCATGCATGTGCGTGATGCATGCCAGGCTTTCAGCGCTTACGCAATAATCCGTGTGAAATGACTGAAAGTTACGCAGTTTGAGCACAATGCTCATTCAGCCTTCGTACCTTGTGCTGCATGATTGCTTAAAGCAAGGTAGAGATGAAGCAAGCTTGCTTTTTTAATTCAACACGCAAGCAATGCGCGTCTTCGGGATACTGTACCAGGCAAACAACAACAAAACACGTGCATAGAATTTCACTCGAAATGGTACAGGTTTTTATCTCGTATCAAGGCTATTTCCGATGGCGTACGCTGTAAATACTCGCAAGGAGGAAGAGAGAAGACGAGGAAGAAGGAGGAGAAGAAAAGATTCGAAAATTAGCATAGCGCGCAGTCCGGTTCGCGCGGTCT